GAGAGAGAGAGAGAGAACTCACAGTTGTGCAGGTTCTCTTTACCCCAAGTAACCCACATATCGAAGTCAGGAGAAATTTGTTTGCCATTAGATGCAAAGAAACTATAGTACACCATCAGCTATATTTCATCTTCATTATAGAACGATTGATTAGATTCCAGGTCAATCTTATGGAGTCATCAATAGCCTCATACACTTAATGATTTAGTTCTTTCCAACACCAATACCTTCAGGAATCTAGGACTGAAGTTTTCTGGGTCATATCACTAAAATAAAGAAACAAATAGCCCTGGCCCAGTAATAAATTCAAAACATCATTACAACAGTTTGGAACTTTGAAATTTTCTTTAAAATGGCAGGAGTGGTTATTTCCTATTCCCAATACAATTGATCCGCAAGCACATACATATCTAAAAAACTCAACCTCCAATCCCTTTCAGTCAATCATTCTCATACCACAATAAAGATGACAAATGTTAACCTTAGGGGCACTTGAGTCAAAATGAAGTATAAGAAAGCTGGTCATACAAAGAACGATGTAGTCCAGTAGTCCCTCCATATATACAAGAAAGGCAAATTTTCATAAATATCCCTTATAATCTGTGGTATTCAAAAATATCTACAAGAAGGGCAAATTTTCATAAATATCCCTTATAATTTGTAGTATTAAAAAAATATCTCCAATTTTCATATTTTATGCTTATATCCCTTTTTCGCATTTTTCTTTTTTTTTTAATCCAAAATACTCAAGTTTGGAACTTGAAGTTCTGAACTGACTTTTTGATAATTGGGGCTACTTTGTGGTAATTGGGGCAGTTTAAAACTTCAAGTTCTGAACTACCCACCCTAGTGTTTTACCCATGCAAAGAAGTAGAGCTTGCTTATGTGGAAGCACATTGTAATTTTAGTCATTCAAATAAAATAACTATATAAATTCATCACAGCATATTGTTGATAGATGCTGAAAGGGAGACATCATGAGATAATACACCCAAAAAGGGTACAACTGTAACAGGACAAAAAACCCTTACTTCAATAAATACTTTGGAGTATTTGGAAGGCCATTCATCAGTATCATTTACAGCAGCTCTGCAAACAAAGGTAAATAAGTTGCAGTACATATCAGAAGGTATACATAAAAGAACCACCAAAGATGAAAGTTAAGCATAGACACAGGCGTGCAGAGATGACAAGCTTAATGCTCAAAAGATGACAGTGAAATAGATGACATGAGGATGCCACCATCTCATGGCATGTTGGCTCCCTTCAAACTTGATGATAGATCCAATGTTATTAGATTACTTTGGAGGGCTCTAAGTTTCAGCCAGAAGAATGGAGATGAAAAGGCATGCGAGGGGTATATTTATAGGTTTTTTTTTTTAAAATTGAGGGGTATATTTATAGTTTGATGAAAAGGATTTCAAATTTTATAGTTTTATAAAATTATAAGTATGCGAGGGGTATATTTGGAAATAAAACCATTATATGCAAAACACTGAGGATTGATTCACTTCATTTCGGTTTGGGAGCTGAAGCCAAAGTGAGTCAAATCTGGTAACATTGGATAGATCCAATTAGTTATTACAACCGGAGGAAAAATGCAGGATGTACATAATCGATGAGATATACAGTCTTTGAGCAGGTAAAATCCATGAGAAAGAGCATAAAAAATGGTTAAATCCGGTACAAACTACATATCTGGCACTGAAACACCAATAGGAACACGACAAGCTGAGCAGATCACAAAGCAACAAAGCTGGATAACAATACAATGGTACACAAGCTTTGTTGATACAAAATTGTAAAGATCCATAGGGATACATTTCCAAAGGGCGTGCAGTAGGAAACCATAAATCTGCATGCAGCTTATGTTGCAAAAGTGATAGCATATTTCCACCACCCTTCAATCCAACCCATTCCTATATGGATATAAAAGACACTCTTGAATGAAATCTTGACTCAGAATCTCAGTAAGCATGAACTATTTCTGTATGCAGATTGCCTCTGTGATAAGACCATTTGGGCCCCCCTCAATCCGAGCTGTGTCCACCTCATGAAATGCTAATGCACTTTATATCACATGACAGATCCAGTTCATGATGTAGTTATCAAGATACCCAGTGCTCTAGATAACAACATTTCCACAGAAAAGAGCCCAAGGATCACCAGATTATAGTTTGATGAAAAGGCATTGCTCATTTGCTCTTTTGAGATTTTATTTCTTCGCCTGTTTCTTCTTTTTTTATAAATTCTAACATGCTCAAGAACCGCCTCTAGATTCTACATCACATGAATCCCTTGAATCCTTCCACGACTAGTTTGAAAAGATAGGAGTGAAAACTTTTGAAGACTCCTCTTACCATCAAAGTATCCCTGAGGATGGCTATTGCTAATGATAGGGTATGGGGATCATGATATGAAGTTCAACCCAAACACAAACTTTTCTAGGAACCCAAAACGGCTCAGCAGATTTAGAGCTAGTTCATAATCCCTAAAAAACTATTGTAGTAAGGATAAAATGTAAATTTAACCACCAATTTCTTACTAAATAATTATATATGATATTAACAAGCAGTGTTCAAAAAAGCAGACTGCCTAGCGCCTAGGCGGTCCAGAAGGCTTGGGCGCATCGCCGAGACCTAGGCGGTCAAACTGGGCGGCAGTACCTGGGCGCCAACCTAGGCGGTACGAAACCGCCTAGGCGTGCACCCAACGCCCAGCCCTAGGCGGTCGCTCAGGGCTTGCGCCCCACCTAGGGGCGGAAATTTTTATTTTCTATTGCTTTTTTTTTAAAACATAAAGGCTTTTAAGGATAAGTTTTAAGTTCATTTGAAACCTAAACCAACAAGAACCTATTGTAGAGAGAAAGAAACTTTAAAGAAACTAATTTTTGTGATTTTTATTAGATCAAAGTGTTTCTCAAAGTTACGAAAAATCATCCAAACATCACCCTGGTAGATTAGATTTAGTTTTGGAGTTATATAATCCTATTACAGGGTGTTTTTGATTATTTTAGTACCTGAAAACATCACAGAGGTAGGAGTTTAGAGTTCAAGCAATCAAAGTAAGTACAAAACTTTATTTTTTAGATTGCTTGCTTCATTTTGAGATGTTTTCTTCAGGATTTAGTCGAAGTGGAGAACGGGGTTGGAAATATGGATATAACCCGAATTCAAAAGACAAAAATTGCATTAGATACAATTATTGTGAAAAAGATACAAAAGGGGGCATAAACCGGTTTAAGAAACATGTTGCTGGTATTAAAGGGGATATTACCCCTTGTAAAAATGTTCCTGAAGCTATTAGATAGGAGATTAAGCAATATATGAGTTTTGTAAAACAAAAATAGCAACAAAATCCTTGTAATTTGAATAGATCTATTTCTGCTTCTTCTATAAGAAGTGATCCGGGTTGGAAGCATGGTTATAACCCAAAACTAAACGATAGAAATTGTATAAGGTGTAATTTCTGTGAGGAAGATACCAATGGGGGTATTAACAGATTCAAGAAACACTTTGTTGGTATTAAAGAGAATGTTGCTTCTTGTAAAAAGGTTCTTGAAGCTATTCGGGATGAGATTAGACAGTTTTTGAATTTAAAAGAACCAAAAAATGATGAAAATGAGCCTTGTTCTATGGAAATATCTTCTCCAGGTTCTTCTAGAAGTGCTGAAACCCGAATCCGAATGACAAAAATAGTATTAAATGTAATTATTGTAGAAAGGATACTAATGGGGGTATTTACCGGTTTAAAAAACACCTTGCCGGTATTAAGGGGGATATTGCTCTTGTAAAAATGTTCCTGAGGCTACCAAGGAGGAGATTATACAATATTTGAGTTCAAGGAAGCACAAAAAAATAGAAAAGGGAAGGGCAGCCAAGACTCCTAGGGTCTTATCTGCACGTACTAGTAAGAGGGAGGTAGAAGAAGAGAAGGAAGATGCAGATTCAGAAGAAACAAAAGGGGACAAGTGTTATATTGAAGAGGGAGATGACTCTGATGATGATGACCTCGAATCTGATGGATATGATGAGGCATACCCTATTCCTTCTGATGATGATGATGACTGAAGACTCTTGGTGTTGAGTGTTGACTGTTCATTGTTGAGTGTTGGCTATTGTGCCCTAGACTGTAGTCTGTATATTTTCTTTTTCTTATTTTTAGTTTCTACTTTCTAGTTTCTAGTTCTACTATCTAACTCTTATGTGTACAGCCTACAGTGTATCATACTATCAGTGTATGCTTGTATGGTTTTACTGTTTTAGGCTTTTAGCATTGTATGAAAATATGGATTATGGTCTTATGGAGTATCAAAATTCTCTTCTCGCCTTCTATTTTCTTTATTTTCAACTGGGATTATGGTCTTATGGATTATCAAAATTCTTATGAATTATCAGAATCAGATTATCTTTCTTTTGTTTTTTGTTTTTTTCAACTGGGCCGCCCAGATTCTGGGTGCCCACCTAAGCCCTGGGCGGCCTGGAGCCCCATGGCCACCTGGGTGTCGCCTAGCACTTTTGAAACTATGTTAACAAGAAATTAAGAAGAAAATTTTATGTTGATATATTTAGAAGAAAAAGAAATTATTATCTCCACAAATCAAGCTTTATATGAAATTGAATAGTTTTTCATAATTTATTTATTTTTTATTCTTATAAGACCTCTTTTTAGTTAATATTACAATTTAGCTTTAGTCCTGATTCCTCAAGGCTTGTGCATTAGGCCCCCCTAATTCTTGATATATAAAAATAAAACATGCAAGATCAAAGTCTGTCAATGATACTTTCTAGTTAAATAAAAAACATTGATATGCATCCTATCACATCAAAATTTCTTGACATATAGCAAGTTGCATATGAATGATGTCAACTCACAAATAAAAAACTTGTGAGGCAGCAGTTGCCAATTACATCACAACATTGACTGAAATGAGTGCATACATGATACAAAAGCTTATAAACGATAATAAGTCATGAATGTAAATGCATAATCCCACCTTTTGTATTTTGTCACAGCTACACCCTTAATATATACAGCTCCAGACATCCCTGTAATGAGGCAAACAGCAATAAGCACACTCACTAATAACCGCAAAACAGGAAGCACACTCCTATCCACTATAAGCTTTAAGTAACTTTTTAGGTATACTGTATGGAGAGGTCAAGAGAAGTTGCACTGTATTATCCGATGACTTGTGAAGGTGCACCAAGCACATAGTGAATCAGTGTGAATGTGTGTAGTGAATCGACACTAGTGCTTATGGTAACATGTGTGCATTGTTTAATTATAGTGAGACCAAGGTATTGTTGAAAAAGCCTGACGAGGAGAGTTTTTCTATGTCTACTCATAAACCTAAACAGAAAAACTCAGAGCCACCAACGATGTTTCCCAAAAAACTACCAAAAAGAATGTGACCCACTTGAAAAGGTATGGGCCAATTGATAATTTGCAAGGGTTTATAATTTCCCAACTCAAAACCATGAAACCCAATTGCATTAAATGTGCAAAGTTTGAGTTCCTTTCAAGATACCTTCTTTTAGTCCCAAGATTAAGGCGAACCAAGCCTTTCCATATCGAAAATTTTCCTTTTTATTTAGGTAAACAACTTCAGAACCAACAGCCAAGGAAATTGGAGTTTGATCCATCTTCTAAGAAAAACAGTGCGATCGAGAAAGCGTGCTCCATCTAAAAGAGACAGACTTCTGGGCATCAAACTCTTGCTAGCACATAACATAAAAGTTTTTCCACAGAGAAGATAACATAAAAAAGACTTGCATTCATGCACAGATATTCTATCAGAAAGTTGCAGACCAGTATAAAGAAACACCAATAATCAAATAAATCAATATCGATTCAAGGCACAATATAATATTCTAGAACAAATTGCCAGACTATGTGATAAGGAAGAGAAAACTAAAAAATAATATAAAACCAATAAGGCAACGTTAAAAAGAAAAAAAGAAAACCAACAAGGCAAAAAAAAAGGTTGTTTTTTTTGTTTTACCAAATTGAAAGGTGGGGAAAGGAGGGGAACCAAGCTGGAGCCACAAGTGCTTCCCCTTTCTATGCGCAGCAACAATGGTCTTTCCCACTAATGATTTCTCAAAGTTGGGGGGAGAGACGCCTTCAATGACTTTTGGGTCGTCTGCAACTTTGGCAGATTTGATCCTTTTGCCGATGCAATGCTCTTCCACGGCCCTGCGGGCTGCCTCCACCTCTGGAAGCTCAGGCATTCTCTTTCTCTCTCTAAAGCTCGAGCTGGAAGATAGAAAACTCGTGCAAGACTGTAAAAACCATTCTCTCTCTCTCGCGCAGTGAGGAGTAGCAGAGAAGGATTCCCAGGTCACCCACTCTACATCTCTGGATATTACGCGCCTCCTCTCAATTGAACAGTTTCCACTTTGCAGCGCTCTGTCCTGCGAGTACAGCGTAGTCCCGCAGGAGAAGATTTTAGGCTTGCTCTACGTCCCCCTAAAAATTTAAACGCGTAGCATCCTGCCCTCCCCCATGTTATGGAAAACTCTTAAAAACGCGGATCGGTGTTTCGCCCATGCCGATGTTTTGTTGATAGCAGTTGAACGGAGCCGCAAACAGCTGATGTGCGTTTCGTCGGTTCGTTGCGGTCTTTTGATCTACGATGTTTAAAAATTGGATGACGCCGAGTCTATAGGTAAAAATATTATTTATTTTCAATGCGGGCGGGCTTTCCTTTGATTGCGGGAAACTAAACGATCTCTCGAAATTTGGAAAGCCTTGCTTTATTAAAAACAAAGAATTTAGTTTTTTTAAGAAATTTTTTTACATAGAGTTGTAATTTTAAAATGTAGAATTAAGATGCACCATAAAAATCTACTAAATAAAGCTATTTTGTGGTTGAAAAATTCTCCAATTAATCATCTCAATATATATATAT